TTATGAACAGTTGTTTTGTTGTTAAGTGTGTCGAGTTGATTCCGACCCATAGCGACACTGTATATGGTTTCTGAGGAGTAGCTGGTGAGCTTGAACCACCGACCTTGCAGTTCAAACAGCTTATAAGAATTACCTCCTTTGTCTATTATTTTAACATTAAGCTTACTTCTGTTCATAATACAGAAGTAAGCTTAATGTTAAAATAATAGACAAAGGAGATAATTCTTATAGAAATCACAAGACATAACAGCACTTTTATACACATCCAGTTTTTAACACATTGGCATAATAGTTTTCACCAAGTACTTTGCTAGCTTAAAAATTCTCCTTTGACATACCTCTTTCACATGAGATAGCGGAACACCTGACAGCAACATAAAGTAAAGTCTTTGGAATCTGAATATGAATGCCAGCAGATTTTATAGCCTTAAGTCCATGTAAACAATTATTCTTTATTGGCGGCGGTGGTGGTTGTATGCTATTGAGTCAGTTGCAACTCATAGCGGTCCTGTATAGGTTTTCTGAGGGGGTATATCTTTACAGGAGCAGAAACCTCATCTTTCTCCCTTGGAATGACTGGTAGATTTGAACTGCTGACCTTGCAGTAAGCAGCACAACTCATAACTTGCTGTGATTCTTGGGCTGTTTACTCTCTTTATTAGTATACTTTAAGGTATAGATTATATCATCATCTTTAGAATCACCTGGGAAGCCTTATTAAAAATGTATTTAATTGGGTCCCTCCTAACACCTACTAAATTTGAGTAGGTCTTTATCTTCTTCAAGTTACTCTTTTAGCATAGTTAATAATTCTCTATATTGAGCATATATTAAACATTTCCTGTTTAATCTTTCATTCCTAAAGGATAATGTTTGCAGAAAGAGACTTTAGAGTTCAAAGTGTTGATATGTAAATTGGCTGTCATTTTAATTGTTTTTCCCCAGTAATTCAGGCTCATTTTTTCCTCAGTTTTCAAGAATCTTGTCTTTAACTTTAGTTTTCTGAAGTTTTTATATCTTGGGGTTCAGCTTCTGAATCTATGTTTATATATTTTGCCAAATTTAGGGAATTCTCATTTATTATTTTTTCAAGTAGCTTTTTTAGCTCCATCATATTTTTCCTCTTCTTCTGGAATGCTAATGACATGAATGTTAGACTCTTTATTATATTCCCACAAGTCCCTGAGGTTTTGTTCTGCTTTTGTTTTCACTCAATTTTCTCTTTATGTTTTGTATTGAGTAATTTCTGTTGTCTGCCTTCCACTTCTTGTTTTTTTAATTTTCTGTCTCTCTGTTCTAATATTGAGACCATCATTGTGTTATTTTGGTGGATTATACCTCAGTTTTTAAATTTCAATTGGATTCTTCTGATACACTTTCTATTTCTTTGCCAACGTTTCATATTTATTTACTTCTTTAATTTAAGTATGTGTGTAATTGCTCACAGAAGCAATTTTATGATGTTATTTATAAGTCCTTGTCAGATAATGCCATCTCTGTGTCATCTCCATATTGGTGTCCAAATGGCTTTTATTTCTCAAGTTTCTATTTTCCTCATTCTTGATATAATGAGTATTTTTGTTTGGAGTGTGGACCTTTTGAAAATCATTATGTGAGTCTCTGAATCTTCTTTAAATCTCGCTTAATTAGATGAAGGGGTGCTTCCTCACTATTGCCGACTGAGAATGGAAGTCCAAGTTCCCCACTTGTCCTAGTTTAACTCACTGGAGGGGCGTGCCTCGTTTTTGCTGGGTGAAGATGACATTTCAGATACCCCACTACACCTATGCTGATACCACCCTGGCTGCATGTGAAGCGGAGGAATACCTTGTTACTGCTTTCCACAGGGTTCCACAGCCAGCAGGGAGGCCACTGTATCACTGGATGATGGGAAAGTTTCAGGTTTCAACTTAACCTCCTTTAAAACAAGTAGCAGGAGGAGCATTTTTCATTACTACTAGATGGGAAGAAAATCCAAGATTCTAATATGACCTCCACTGACATCCTGAAGAAGGTCTTGTTATAATCCATTGAGGAATGAAAGTTCTGTCTACCCAATCAATTTTCCTTAATATCAAGACAGGCAATAAGGGGGATGTGTGGCAAGGGACACCTCATTACAGTTGGAAAAAAGTTGTTGGTTTGGAGTTACTCTTTAGCTTTTATGAATGAGTATGAGGGTTTGGCTGTGACATATTTTCCATAGTATTTTATGGGGTGTGGTAGTTAGTGTCAAAACATTTTCTATCTTGTTAGGTTGTCTCTTTCCCTCTTTGGGTTAGAGAGAAGAGACTATTCTTGGGTTTGTTTTATGTTGTTTTTGTCTACACCCATTGGTGTTTCAGGGTTTCTGGTTTCCCAGCAACCATTTTAGGATATATGAAACAAACAAACAAAGCAAATAATTCATCCTAATGTTGTTTCTCGGGTCCCACAGTCCATACTTTTTCTCTACCTTTCTAGGAATTCATATATTTGGTCTGTGTATAATTTCCAGGGATTCTAGCTGTATTTATTGGGAGGACTATAAATAAGTGTGTCTGTTTCATCTTGATAGAATTGTAGAAGTTCCAAATCAATTTTAAATACTAGGATATGCTTTTTCATAGGACACAAATTGCTTTCTCTCCACTAGCCTTTTTTTTTTTTTTTTTTCCTCAAGCCTTCCTTTCATAACTTCTTTTCCAAGGTTGGTTCAGAAGCAATTCTTTCATTAAATAACCTTTGAGGTTACTAGTACCAGCTGTGACAGTGCCTCAACCATTCCCATGTTAATAAAATATTTTCTGTAGCCATGAAACACAGACATTTCCAGCATATGTTGATTAAATTCTCAACATATGCTCATCAGTCTCCCAAATAGATATTCAGGTCTTATTTGGTTTCACTGTTTCATTGAGACCTTCTATATTAAATAACTATTAAAATTCATTAATAAGCTATATTAATAAAGTCATACTGTCCAGAGTGTTCAGCCTATGCAATTATGTTCTTCTCTTATTCATTCTTATTTATGAGGTTCCTGTATAGCATAAACACTTGAGTGATTAAAATGATATTATTTTTTCCAGATGGGGCTGGGAGAGAAAGTCATTGGAGCGCTTACACAAGAAGATTTATACACATTATTAAATGTATTTCTCAAAATAAAGTCTTGATTGTTATAACCATTTAACCAATGGAGCTTTTGCAAAGTCACATAGTTGTTAAATGTCCAACTGGGATTAAATTATTTTGTAACAATAGAGCTACCTAGCAGTTTGAGTCCACTAGTAAGCCCACTATGAGTGCTGGTATGGAGCTGTAGGCTAAGCACCAGACCACAAGGGTAGTTTGAGCCATAAGGTCAACAGTTCAAATTTAGCAGCTGTTACTTGAATACCTGATACAGGATCCCTATGAGTCAGACCAACTCACCAGCACTTGGCAACAACAGTGGTGGTGGTGTTTATGTGCCATGGAGTCGGTTCTCACTTATAATGACCCTGTCTGTTAAGTCAAGTTTAGTGGGTAGTAATTTTTTTCTTTTTTATTGAAAGAGATCACATGAGAAAATAACATGGCGTATTTTAAACAATAAGGAAAATATTATTGAATAAAAATAAGAATGTGATTCTTATAGAACCCTAGGTGATTTCTATGTTCAAATCTAGAGCTTGTGAAAATAATTCGGTATATGTGGGGTGGAAATGCAACTTCTCAGCAGGGGTCAAACCAGAATGAACTATTTTGAAATCCTGGTTCCATGGTAAAATTTCATCCTACCATATGTCTCTTGTTGTCTATGATTTGTGTGTATTTCTGATACGATGATATTTTGTCATTTAGTGTATTTGTCTACTTACCACAAAGTCTAAATCAAGGTGAAATTCCAATCAGTTTCACAATGAGGCATAAATTTATTCTTTTTGTTTCTTCGTTTTGCTTTTAGCTTACTGTTGTGCATTGGGTAAGGTTTACAGAGATGATCAGTTTTCCATTCAACAATTCATACCTATTTTGTTTAGTCTCACTGATTATAATCCCCACAATGCAGTACCACTTATCCACGTCTTCCTTGTGTTTCCTGTTTTCATTGCTCAGTTCTAACCCTTGTGAACTTTGTCCTTAGGTAAATGCTGTCCTTTCCATCTGGAATGGTTGATTCTTCTAAAGCGCGCTTTCCTCCCTAATGCCATTGTTTCCCTATAGCCCTATCTGTTATTTGACTGAAAATTGAGCCATATGAGTGAGTTTAGTTCCAGATCTGACTGATGGCTACGGGCCATAGTGTCTGAGTTCCACCACTGTGGGCACATTTATTCTTAAAACACTAAAGGAACATTAAACTCTAGCAGTTTCAACAGGCAGACGCTGCCATTACACAGAAGACTTTCACATCCAGGCTGTGTCACTGAGAACCTGGGACAAGTTACTCTGCTTCTCAGTATCCAGTGAAGTAGAAAAATAATGACAATTAACACATTATTATCATGTTGGATTCAAAGAAGATAGGTGATCCATACAAATTCATTATCCAAGTGTTTGCCTTATAGCAAAAACATAACTGTTAGCTGTTAGTCTATGATAAGACATTTACAAAAATTAGTTAGAAGAAAATCACTTTCCTTTGGTGTTGTCCTTGTTAATTTACCCTTTTATCAGAATATACTGAAATATGAACAGTGTCCAAATTTTACATTGTAAGTAATTGCTAGCTGATTTCCCTGTAATTAAAGGGAAGAAAATGATGTTTTCCTAACTTTTAGTCTTCAAAAATGTCTGTGATTATACAACTCAGTCCTTTTCATAATCTTTCCAACTCTAGTTTAGATGGCGGAACTGTGGGATTAAGTCAAGAGCCAGAAAGTACATAGAAAAACTGAATTTCTGCCCTGAGACACAAGACCCCATAGCCGGTCCTCCTACGCAGGGCGTTTTGAAAGGAACACACACATCTGAGTAGATCTTTGATAACAGAACTTTTGATTTTACAGGACAACCTGGAGCAATCCATTTTCCCCATGCAGAGAGGCTCCCTGAACCTCTTGAGGCAGAAATGGGAATCCAGCGATTACCAGAAAAGTGAGTGCTGTCCTGGAGGTAGCCGTTGCAGGATCTTCCAAACACAAGACAGCAAATTGCTTGAACCTGAAGGAGAGATAACAGCCCCTGGATGTCCAGATCCCCCAAGTCAGCCCTGCACTGTAAGAGAAGAGATGTTGAGTCCAGTTCCAGAGAAGGTACCTGAGGACAAAATGGGCAGCTCACAGGGATACAGCCAACCTGAAGTGCTGAAAGAGGATTCTGTGAGCAGTCGTCGCAGGATTGAGCGCTTCTCGATTGCTCTTGAGGAGCTGAGGAGTGTGTTTGAAGCGCCTAGGAGTGGAAACAGGCCAGAGGGACCAGCTGAGTATACCCGGAAGGTAAGGAGTCATCCACTAAGACTTGATGATTACAGTTGACAAGCTAGGCAAATTTTCTAGCCTGCCGTTTATTTCTGAACATGTAATGTTTTTCTTCCTCAGCTGTACTCTAGACAGATGTCCTGAAGCAATACTGTAATGCAGTGTGAAATGTGACATCCTCTATTATTGACCTCCTCTGTGGTCTGTTCCAATAGGGATATGACCTCCTTTCACTCCCACACAAACAATTCTGATATACCCTATTATGTTGAAGCTTCTTTCTTTATGTGTGTATCTCCTCTGCAACTAGACTGTAACTTCCTTAGAGGTAGGGATACTTTCTTATGACTCTGTATCTTATACATCTAGCAAATGATGCTGCATTTAGCAGGAGTTCAGTTAGAGTTTATCAATAGTGATGGTAAAATGGAACACGTGAATGCTTCCGAACCACAATGACATAGATTTTAATCTTGAAACCTGTCATTTACTTCAATAACCACATAACATTTAACCTTGTGAATACAAATCTCCTGAAGCTGCTACTTAACAACGAGGTTTGAGGATTATAGATAATACTTGTATATATAAAATCAACTTGCAGTGGTTTTATTGGTTCATGATGTTGCAACGGTTATGTGCTCAGCTAGTAACTGATAGGTCAGCAGTTCTAACCTACCAGTGGCTATGCAAGAGAGATGACTGGGCAATCTGCTCCTAGGAAATACTATGAGGCAGTTCTGCTCTGTCACATAGGACCACTACGAGTAAGAATTGGCTCAGTGGTACACAACACCAAGCATAGAGTCTGCAATATTTTGATTGATCATGCAATATAATAGAGGAGTATGTCTCATTTTTGACAATGGAATATAAATCCACACATAAATAGGTCAACTATTTTAAGGGGACATTTCATCAAACGCAGGAAGCAGGATCAGTAATATTATTAATTGTTGTTGTGAGGTGCTGTGCAGCCATTTCTGACTAATTAATGATCTTACACACAACAGATTGAAGTAGTGCCCATCCTGCACCATCCTCACAACTGTTGCTAACGTTCAGCCTGTTGCTACTGCCACTCATCAAGCATTATCTTCTTTTTTGCTGATCCTCCACTTTACTGAGCAAGATGTCTTTTTCCAGGAACTTATCCTTCCTGACATAGCCAAAGTACAAGAGTCAAAGTCTCACTATCCTTCCTTCTAAGAAGCATTGCTAACCCAGAAAGATTTGTTTGCTCTCTGGCAGCCCATGGTACTTTAAACGTTCTTCAACAACACCACAATTCATATGCATCAATTCTGTGTTCTTCATTATTTATTTTCCAACTTTCACATTCATATGAAGTGATTGAAAATACCATGGCTTAGGTCAGATGCTCCTTATTCCTCAAAGTGACATTTTTGTTCTTCAAACCTTTAATGAGGTCCTTTACAACCTATTTGCCTAATGCAATATTTCATTTGATTTCTTCAAAGTTATTTCCATGCAATTTGATAGTGGCAAATAAAATCTTTGACAACTTTCATCTTTTCACTGTGTGTCATGATGTTTTGTATTGGTCCACACGTGAGGATTTTTGTTTTCTTTACATTAGAGTGTAATCTATATGCTGAAGGCTGTAGCATTTTATCTTCATCAGTAAGTATTTTAAGTTCTTTTCACTTGCAGGAAGCAAGGTTGTGTCATCTTAATATGAATTTTCCTCCAATCTTGATGTCACATTCTTCTTCATACAACCCAGCTACTAAGATTATTTACTCAGCACACAGATTAAATTTGTATGGCACACCTTTCTTGATTTAGAATCATTCAATATCCCTTGTTCTGTTTGAATGACTGCCTCGTTCTGTGTACAAATTCCTCATGAGCACTATTAAATGTCCTGGAATATCCACTATTCTGAAAGTTATCTACAGTTTATTATAATCCACACAATCACATGTGTATGCATAGACAATGAAGCACAAGTAAACATTTTTCTGGTATTCTCTGTTTTCAGCCAAGGTCTTTTTGATGTTAGTAATGATACACTTTTTTCTGAATCCAGCTTGAATTACTGGCAGTTCCTTGCCAATGTGCTATTGCAACCTTATTAAAATTTATATTCTGCAAAATTTAACTTGCAGGTAATATTCATGCTATTTTAGAAAAAATAATTTCTGCATTCTGTTGGGTCCTTTTTCTTTGGAATGGGTACAAATATCGATGTATACCATCTGATTGTCGAGGTAACTGTCTTCCAACTTTCTTTGCATAGACAAGTGAGTACTTCTAGAGCTATGTAAGTTTGGTGAAACATTGAAAATGGTATAATGTCAATTTCTGGAGCCTTGCTTTTCATGAAAACCTTTGGTGCAGTTTGGACTTCTTCCTTCAATATCATCAGTTCTTGTTTATCTGCTACCCCTTAAAATGCCTGAACATCGACCAATGGTTTTTGGTATGGTAACTCTGTGTGTTCTTTCCACCTTCTTTTAATGCTTCTTACATCGTTCAAAATTTTGTACGTAGCATCTTTCAGTATTGCAAATTGAGGGTTGAAGGTTTTTCCTCAGTTCTTTCAGCTTGAGAAATGTTGAGTGTGTTCTTCCCTTTAGGCTTTCTAACTTGAGATCTTTGCACATTTCAACATAATACTTGACTTTGTCTTCTCAAGTTGCCCTTTAGAATTTTCTACTCAGCTCTTTTACTTAATAATTTCTACCAGTTACTTTAATTTCTCTATGTTTAAGAGCAAGTTTTAGAATCTCTTTGATATCTGTTTTAGTCTTTTCTAACTTTCCCATCTTTTTATTGACCTTTTACTTTTTTCATGTATGATATTCTTGATGTCATCCCACAATTCCCCTGGTCTTTGATTATTAGCATCTCATGCATCAAATATGTTCCTGAGATGGTCTCTAACTTCAAGTGTTATGTACTCCAGGCCATTTGTCACCTCTTGTTAACTTGTTTTCATTTTCTTCAGCTTCAACCTGAATTTGCATTTGAGCAACTAATGGTCTGTTTCAGTTAGCCCTTGCTTTGTGTTTGCTGTTGATATTGAGATTCTCCATTACTCTTCCCACTAATGAAGTTAGTTTGATTCCGGTTTATTGCACCTGGTGCTATCCACATATATAGTCACCATTTGTGTTGTTAATAGAAGATATTTGCAATAGATAAGTCATTGGTCTTGCAAAATTCTACCATGTGATCTCCATGATATATTGACATCACCAAGACCATATTTTCCAACTAATGATCTTTTCTCTTTGTTTCTAACTTTTGCATTCCAATCACCAGTAATTATCAGTGTATCTTAATTGCTGTTTGATACATTTCAGGCTAAAGATGTTGGTTGTTGCTGTCGTTGGTAAGTGCCACCAAATCAGTTCCATGCCACACCAGATCTCCAAAGACATTGGTTGTTGCTGTTAAATGCTGTTGAGTAAGTTCTGACTCACAGTGACCCTGTATAGGGTTTCTGAAGAGCATCTGGTGAGTTTGAATCTCCAACCTTGTGGTTCAAACTGACCTCGTGGTCCAGTGCTTATCCTATAGCACCACATCAGTGCTCCAAAGTTGTTGGTAGAATTCTACAATTTTGTCATCATATTGGTGCATGAATTTGAATAATAGTGGTAATTACTGGTCGTCCTTCTTGTTGTTGCTGTTGTTGTTGTTAAATGCTGTCGAGTCGGTTCTGACCCATAGCAATCCTGTATAGGGTTCCCAAGGAGCAGCTGGTGAGCTTGAATTGCCGACCTTGCAGTTCAAAGTGCTTTGCAGTCTGGCACATTAACCCACAGCGCCACACCAGGATTCCTTGTAGGTATATGGATATTATCCTATCTCAGAGAAATTGTACTTTAAGATAGATCTTGAAGTGTTCATTTGACCACGAATGTGAACCTATTCCTCTTCAGTTTGTTGTTCCCTTTTTAGTAAACATACGGTTGTATGATTCAAAATGCCCAATACTAGTATATTCCAGCTCACTAATGTCTAGGATATCCTTCCTTATGCATTCCATTTAGTTTTTAAGGCTTCCAATTTTTCTAGATACATACGTTATACATTCCACATTCTAATTAGATATGGGCATTTGCAGCTGTTTCTTCTCATTTTGAATTGTGCTCCATCAATAAAGGTCCTGAAAGCTTTGATTCATCCATGTCATTAAGGTCAACTCTATTTTGAGGAGAAAACTCTTCCCTAGTTTATTTTGAGTGCCTTCTAAACTGAGGAGCTTGTCTTCTGGTACTATGTCAGACACATTTCCTCTGCTGTTCATAATTTTTTCAATGGCTGACTTCCTAGAAGTTGGTCACCTGTCCTAAATATGTCATAGTCTAGAAGCTCCACTAAAACCAGTCCACCATGAGTGCCCCTGCTGGCGTTTAAAATACTGGGAGCATAGCTTTCAGCATCACAGCAACACACAAGTCACTGCAGTATGACAAATTGAGAGACCACTGATGGAACATTATTTATTAGGGCCATATTTATATTTTTTATTGTCAGTAGTTAAATACAACTATTTTTATTTAGAATTGCCTAAATTTACCTCCCTTCTTAAAAAAAAAAAATTAAAAAATTCAAACTCATTGCTGTCAAGTCAATTCTGACTCATAGTGACTCTATAGGACTGATTAATATTGCTCCATAGAGTTTTCAAGGCTGTAATCTTTTTGGATATAGACTGCCTGTTCTTTCTACCAGGAAGCAGGTGGTGGGTTTAAACACTGACCTTTTGGTTAGCCTCTGAGTGGTTTACCACTGCACCACCAGGTCTCATTATATTCATTAAATCATCTAAAAAAAGAATGATTATAGATGAGCTTCATAAAGAATAAGAAAATGTCCCCAGGTTTTCACCTCATAATATTTTGATAATTTTTCACCTAATGACAATTATCAGGAAGATACATGCTCTTACAATTGCTAATGGATAATTAACCCTCATAACAGAAAGGGATTTTTTTTCAAAATAAATTATTTTGCTAATACTTGCACCTGTTTCCTGTTGG